AAAAAAAATGTTGTATTATTTTTGTTTGTATCTGTTGAATTGAAGTCTAACAACAATTGTTAATGTTTTTATTTAGCATTAAAATTAACATTGTGCACTTTTATTAAAAAAAAAAAAAAATAATATTATAATTTATCAAATCATTTTTATAAAAATCTTTTGTTTTCTGATATTTGTTGAAAATATTTAATTTATATGATTTCTAGTTAACATTTTTCATGAATATTGGAGGACCATGATAGTTTTTTTCTTCATAGTAATTTAACAATATTCATAAATCTCAAATAATTGTGTCTAAACCAAGAAAATTTGTCGTAAATCTTATATAAAACTTATAATGAATATAACTTTGATACATGGTATGTAGGTTTACTATGCAATGTGATAAGACGTGTTCATAATAGTTGAACTCTTCTGATATTATTTACTATATTGTATCTATCAAATGATTTGTATCATGCAAAAGGTACTTAATATGTGTAGTTTACAAATTATTTAATATTTATTACTGTATTACTAATTGTAACTACATTATAGTTAATCGTTGAGCAATAGTGTATATTTTTTTTGTCTTCAAACATACACAACTATACTTAAATGATTTATGTTTTCACAATTATTTTTTGTGTTTGTTATGCTTTGTCTGAAGTAGTGAACAAATTGTCATGTCTGTTAGTATAGTTTATTATGTTTAAGACTCATGAAATCAATAAGATATTCACTAAGCAAACATGAATATTATAAAATCGATTGTGCTATTTACATAAAACATTTGTTTATTGCAATATTTTATGTTAATTTAACATTTCAAATGTAAATAATTGTGTTGTACTTATTTTATTATACACAAAATAATTTATAATTCAAACTTTACAATAAAAGTGAATGATACAACTTATATTTATTTTGAAGGGAATTAAACAATAAAATTTATGTTACACTTTCCTTTTCATATAGTCATATGTCTAATAAAGCGATAAYCCATGAGTAATAGAYYTCTGATTCTCAAGTGTATATATATTTTTCATGTGATGTATTCKGTTGGTTTTTATAAAACATATGTGCTCAATTTATCAATATTTAAGTTTACACTGATGATTTTTACTGTTTATATTATGAGTAGCAATTTTTCAACTGGAAAGTTTTCTCCAAAAATTAACAATATTGTCCTATCTGTACATTGTGTAAATTTGACAAAGATATTAACATAAAATTCTTTGTAGGTAATTATCCAGAAAATGTGAATACTAACCTATCAGAGTAAAAAAATATATATGTTTATAACCCTATAAGTTGCGTGTTTAACTTTAAGGGAATACATTATTTTGGATAAATGACTATATATTTTACTCAGGATTTTTTCATTGTTCTGACAGACGATAGTTAAAATACAAATTTGGTTAAAAATAACTTGACCCTTCATAATATTTACYTATTCACGAACAATAAAATAATATATTCATGAAATAAATAGGAACCTCATTATAATCCTGTATTAAGATTGCACTATTTTTTCGGAGAATCGTAAGTTCCTACACGAGAGTAACAGGTAGACAATTACATACGTTGATTCCTACATATTATGTGATGTGTAAGTTCTTACAAAAAAAAAAATGTACCTATGTTAGTTCCTACACGACGGAAGACATGTACACGTGTATAAGTTCCTACACTACGTATATTATAAGTTGTCAATCTATACGTCTATAAAATACTGTCTTACATTTTAACCTTTTATTCTTCTTATTATTTTTAAAATTATTAAATATATTTTTTTTTTTTTGTAAGGAGAACCCGCGGCAACATAGGCCATTGGGTGTGGGATAGTACGGTAGGGGTTATCTTTGTATGTTTGTTTGTAGGTTTTTAAGTGGGTAGGGTTGTAACACGTGTTTGTGTAGGTATGTGTGGCAAGGATATGTTGCTAAAAATCCCGGGTGGTCACCCATCCGGGAGCTAGCAACTGCGGCCGGTACGTACGCTCAGTGCGTTTCCGAAGATTGAGCGTACGACCGCGCCTCACCAAGTCACTATTAAATGTTATAAAGAATGCATTTCTTATATTTTTTTTACAATAAATAAAGAATTATTATTTTTTAAATTATTTAATTGATAATATTTATTAACTAGGTAAATTATAACGGTGTGCCGCGGTACAATTCTGTGCCGTAAAGATCGATTAGGTGTGTCGCGAGAAGTTTCTGATATTTATTATTAATAATTATGCTAGTAAAAAAATATTGAAAACAGTAATGTATTTCATTATATTTGTGTAGAGTGTGCCGTGAAAGCTTATGATGTATATTATTGTACACATTGTTACACATTATGTGTATACATTGTATAACAATGTGCCGTGAACCCAAAAAGCTTGAGAACCACTGRAATAAAGGGTTAAAATGTATGACAGTATTATAGTATGAATTATGATATAACTGATATTATATAAATAACTTATATAATATACTAAGTGTAGGAACTTACATTCACCCATTTTTTCTCAGCAACTTTAATTTTTAAAGATTTTATACCTTCAGATATAGTCAATACCCTTTTAGACGATGGTCTAAAATTACATCATTTACATGAAACCAATTTCAAATGTGCGATATTGTGTATATTGTTAGTGTTAAAAAAATTGTATTACGTGAAATTCGTATAACTTAAGAATGTCCTAAAAAATCAATTCAGAAGGTATAATAAAAATTTAAGAAATCAAAGTTGCTTTCTATAGCCTAAAAAGTGGGAGTCCCTATTTAAGAAACATTAATTTTACTTCGAATGCGAACAAAAAACAAGTGATCAAGTTGATAATAAATGCTTTGCCGTACCTACTGCAGCAGGTTTCGATTTCCGAGTGTATTCAGAATTTTTCATAGAAATATWATAGAATGTAAAACAATTTGCAAACAGCCAACCATAATCGGAGACATTCTCAAAATAGGTACATTCAGATTTAAAATTGTTATTTAATAGTAGGCAGTAGCTATGTAATATTGTTWTATTAATTGGTCATTTTTTCTTTTACGCAAATGAAAACGAGACAATGGTCGGTTAATAATGCTGAAAGGTTATAAATAATATATTTTAAAATAAAACTGATTAAACATAAGGAAATTCAGGAGATAATTTACGATAGAAATTATTTAAGTAGGAAGCAGTAGGTTCTTTAAATCTTCAAAAATATGTCTATAGATTAGCGAAATTTAAATTTAAAAAACGATCACTTTTATAATTAAAACCATTAAATTTTGTAAGTCATTTTGCAGGAAAGGCGTCTATTAAACTTTAAAAAAAAAATCTGTAGAGTATAATAAAAGCTTATATGGGATATTGGGATACACCCTTGCTTGCGAATGATGTCCTTGATATAGTGAAACCCAAAAACTGTTACACTGCCAATTACCGTAAAATTATTATTAGACAGTTGTCTACAAAAATGTAAAAATGTTCGAAACAAAGAATGTCCACGGTGAAAATCTCAAAAAYCAAGAACGACCATGGTAATATTATTCAAAATCAAAAAACTTGAGTATATCTACCCATTGAAATAAGATAAAATAGGAACGCCGCGCGCCGTGAAGTCATCAACATTACCTATCATTATGCAACACTGTATATACACCTATATACATATACAAACAAGTTTATATGTCTACATGAAAACACCTTGTATATTATAAACTGTGGTCTGTGAGTCTGTGAATATCTGTAGTTCATACTCTGAAGACATTAATTATAGGTACCTAATTAGTAATTAACATCGTGYTAGATTAAAACCATGTATGTACCTATAGTAAACTATAAGCTAATCAATGGTGTACACTGTACATACATTTTTAGTTATAACATGTGTATAATAATCTATTAAATCTGTATTTTATTTGAAATGTTATGAATTATAATCTAGTTGTATAGGTATAAATTGTATAAAGAGATTTTTTTAAATATAATCAGTTACGGATTAAGTTATATACTTATATGTGTATAATACTATAATAATCTGTAGACTGTAGGTAGGTATATTTATTCTATTTTTAATTTTAAAAACGTAATTTTGCAAACTGCAATCGCCAGTTTCCTATACACTGTGGGTAAAATATCATAGGTACCTTATCCATACTTTATTATTATCAATCAGTATTATTATTTCTTAAACATTTTCCCGGATCGCTCAAGCACAAAGGTATTACGATGAGTATGCAGGAAAATATTACGAGCTTACATGATATTTCCTTAGTGTATTGTATTGTGTATAATACACACTGTATTGTGTTCCAGTTAATATATCTACGACCTATTTTCCTACTACATTAGTTCTTAAAAAACTGAATAATACACAATCTGCCGCGGATTGCATAACATTTTCAGCCAAGGAAATTATCGTTCGACAAATCCGTCAAATACCCATATATTATTATAATAATTAATAATAGGTAATTGCACATAAATATGTCCTTTTTTGGAAGAGGRGGATACGCTGACTCACTCAGTACCTATCAGTTAATATTGAGTATAAGAGGGTAAGAGAATATGAGATAACATTTCAAAACGATTTTGTTGTTAATATTATTTATTTGTAGTTTTTATCATTGATTAAGTACGTCATACATTATCAATATGATTCTTAAATTAGTTAAATTGCATTTCGGTCTAATGACCGATAATTGAGGCAACTAAGATTTTATGTATTCCAAACGACATTTTATTAAAATACATTGTACCTATACAAATCACGCAGTTTTCATAAATACGTATTCGGCTTCATAAAAGGCGTGGATGTAACAAGTTTGAATTAACGATTTTGAAATTTATTGTGAACCAATAGTCTATTTTGTAGCAGGGACTTCTTCTCTACTCATTCCGTTTCAGGTATATTGTTCTTTGTGACTTTGTTATAGACAAAAACGATTATTTAT